GGCTAACCCTAACCTTTCAAGTAAACCATGCACGTGTAATGTCATTCCAAAAACCTCCCCTGTATTACATACAAACAAGCGAGCCATGGAATTGGTTTCCTTTTATTGTTATTTTTGAAAAAATATCAAAAACTAACCACAATTTTGTTTTATTTAATCTCTAGATCTACTTAAAACCTGTCAATATTACAATCTACCGAAATTGCCATGTAGATGAATTGAAATAGTGTCTGTTAGTCTGTGAAGTATTGCGCGGTCGGTGTTAATTAATTGATGTTTTTGATTGATTGAAATAAATGTTATACATAGCATGACGTCAGTGTTGTAGTGTATCATCAGTTTGCTGACTTGACGAACTAAAACGCGATTGTATATGAAGCTTGTACCGTTTTCAGACCCGATATTGGGATATTTTATCAAGGCGAGATGTACCAAGTTTGTCACATTCACTCTCCTCGACATTCCATGAGTTATGCTCGTTTACGTGCCCAGTAAATGCTTTATATTTTCCCTAATACCAAAAGGTATGAGGTATGAGTATTAATGACTGTGTTAGGCTGCTATAAACACAACATGTAATAGTTTTCATCTATTTTAACAAGGACGGGTCACATATACGAGAGTGCACGACGATTTACCCAAAAACATCCAAAACCACCCACAAACACACCTAAAACTACCCAAAAACACACCCAAAAATACCCAAAAATACACCAAAATACACCAAAACACACCCAAAACTACCCCCAAAAACACCCAAAACTCTCCCCAAACACAACCAAAACTACCCAAAAACACCCAAAATCACCCCAAAAACACCCATAACAACTCAAAACACACTTTAAACTACCCAAAAACACATTCAAACCTGTTTTATTGTAATTCTAGATTTAGTCTTTTCTTTATTTAGTCTTTTTCGTATATATGGGAATACCGTAAGAAATTGTCCCGACGTAATGCACTTCATTGATGGACAGTAATGAACAAACATGTCTAGGTGCACTGTAATGGTTTAGGGAGTCATGGCTTCAGCAGTTGTCCAATGTAATTTGTATGTATAATATAATAATAAACGAAAGACGTTTTTACATATATATTTTATACAATATATTTTTAAAACGTGTTATACGATTTACCTTGCTTCTGAAATATGTTTATATATAAAAACAATTCACAGATAAACATATTTCATAATTACTGATTGTTCTAAATAAAACTAACACATAATTCAAAATATATAACTTAAACATGTGTTACGCAGTAAGATTAAAATTACCAAGAATGTTACAATAAGTCTACTTCATAGTAGATACAAAAGAAAGAAATAATTACCAATACTATCTAGAAGACACATAAAAAGATAAGCACAATATAAATAATGCAAATTCATGTCTAGATTACCATGAAGTATGGCTCCGACACGCGGAAACTGAGACAAAAAATATTCACAACTGTGTGTGTGTGTGTGACTAATCAATATTATTATTCTATGATATACATAAATACTACAAAGAACATACGATTTAAGATGAAAAAAACACTCAGTACAATATAAACACATGTAGTAGTACTTTGAAATGCAAATTTATGTCTAGAAGTTGGCACTTCCTTGCAATGCCCTTCTGAGGTCAAGGATTTGGATGTTTCCTACTGGTGCCATTTTCCCAACTAAGTCTGGTAATCGGTGTTGTTTGAAGTCGGCTACTTGTTTCAGCCTGTTGTTTATTGATAACGAGTTGTTGTTCGTCGACAATTCTGAAATCAATTTGTCCCAAAGAGGTTCAATAACGAGTGCTTTTAATTTTGGTTAAAGAAACCTGTCCCAATATTGTCGAAAATTGTTTGTCAGATAAGGCTCAATGTCATCTTTTCTTTAAGCATATTCCAGATCAGTTTTGCAGAAGACAATACCGTCTTCAGCAAAAATGATACTAGAAATGCTTTATGTCTTTCAGAGATGTACCGTGCTTTTCAAGGAACCTTTTAAAGTTTTCTTTTATGTGTTTTGTACACAGTAAAAAGTTCGAGACTACATACATATACTGATATTGTCTGCCAGGCATCAAAACAAGACCGTATTGAATCAGCTGTGTGTTTATATAACAAAATATTTATAACACCTGAAATACAGTGATAACTTCTCACGATGATGTGTTACAAACTGCTCATTCACCAAGGCAACAATCATTTCATTTGAAATTTCTGTTATTTTATTTTGTTTTAAAACCTTCAAACTCGGCTCCTTTTCTCAGATGACAATTTCGTAAAGTTTACGAAAAACAAACTCCAGACATGTTTGTCATCAAGGTGAAATATAGGTAGATATATTGGATATTGTGCAGAATAATTTTGTTTGTATAGAACTTATTGTTATTTCCTTGTTTCTCACACAGACGTTTGTAGTACAGGTGGAAAGATACGTGAATACTTAGTATACAGTAACCAGGAACCATACAGGTAGACCCTCCTAAGGCAGGCCTGACAGTTAAAATGAGTATTACAAATGGTCTGTTTCTACCCATTGTCTCCTTATGGAGCAGTTTCTTCATCGTGCCTTACTAGTTACCCCTATAAAGGTCATTAGAACGAAACCAATTAAATGAATTACGAATGCCAATCAAATTATTTCGTCTTTTACCATGAATTAAAGTTGATCGAGCGTTATTCCAAGTGACTATTAAATCCTTCTGTTGGAGCACCTTTTCTAAAACAAAACATTTAGTAATGCAAGCAACTCATATATGGGAACTACTCTCAGTTGACAAACGTCTGTATCAAAGATGAACAATTTCAATCCACAACACTTCGCCATGCCAGAGGCAATTGTATGTGACCTAGCATATGAGATATGCCCCAAATGATATGACAATTAAGCGGTGAACTGAGGGCTATAACTCTGTGTTTGGTAGGGCAAAAGACACCCTACATGCCCCTGACAGAGTGACCACTGTGAACAAAAGACACCTGCTCTGTATTTGATAGGCACAAAACCTATGACAGGAAAAGATGGGTAATTGAACAGAACACTTGTCTTACAGATTTCATACCACTCTACTCACTACTTGTCATACATATAAACCTATTACACAGCCTTTGTCTGACTGTCATCCCAAGAAGTATTCGCATACAGAAGTTGGTAATTTGTGACGAAGTATGTGAGATATATGCTCTGTCTAAACCAGAGGTCAGACCTATTAATGGCTTACGTGGGAACAGTGGGAGATTAGCTGAATAAACTGTTTTGAACAATCTTGATGGTAACACTGACAATTATTTTTTTGAAAACTTCCAACTAAGCATAAAGTGTAACGAAATACAATCTTCCAACATATTTTGTAAATATGACCATGACTTTCGTTGAAGGTTCCAGATGTAAGATGAATAAAAGTTGACCATACATTACACCTTCCCAACACATGAAGTATGTTTAAGCTTTCCCCATTTGACTAGTAGCTTGCTGGCATGGAGTGCTACAAAGTTTGCAAACATATATGACCTTGACCCATATTCAAGATCGAAGGGGTCAAGTTTGTTCATGTTAATCACCCCAGCAACTTCATCTAGGGAACTGGAAGGCATACAATCAAATAATTTCAGCAGTAGCTTACTAGCTTGGAATTTTACAAGGCTTGTGAACAGTAATAACATTGGGATATGACATATTTAAGACTGCATGAATCAAATGAGCGAATGCATTTAAGATTTGAATAGTGATATTTAGAAAATGGCTTGCTGGCATAAATTACTTCAAGCTTTGCGAAAAGAAAATACCTTGACTGATTTTCTAGGTCTCACATCAATTTATTTAAACAAACAACTTCTTATGAAGAACAAAAAGTCCTCAAGTCACGGTATTTGGCATGTATGGAATAGAGTGCTACAAACTTCATGAACACAAATTACCTCGAAAAAATATTCAAGGTCACAGGGGTGAAATGTGTTTTGTATTGAAAATTAGGGCTATAATCAGATTTTTTTTATAAATAACCTTGAACCACTAACAATATTGCAGGGGTCAAATGTGTTAAAACCTTTTAACAACCTCCTGGGATTGATGTTTTAAGAACTGATATTTATCTAATAGCTAGCTGTTGAAGGGACAGTATCAAGTTTGTCCAAATAAATAACTTAACTTAGAGGTTAAAGTTTTGAATAAGCTGAAACAACTTTTATCAAACATTCCCCAAGGTCTAAGGTGGTAATAGTATGATTGGCACTTGCTGGGATAATACGTTTTTGTTCAATGAAATGACATTTACCAAAGTTCCATCAGTACACAACAAAGATTTACAAATGTTAAGAGTTATGATATATTAAACATGCTTAATATAAAGTTATTTTAACTAAATTTGACCTTCACATACTTTGAATGTCATAATATGAAAAATGTTTGTGATCAATGTTGAATAAAAGCAAATTGGGCCTTTGTTTGAATGTTCACCTCTGTAACCTTAAAAGTAGATCAAGCTCATTTTTATTTTTTTCAGAAACTATGTTGGACTACAAGGAACCTACTAGCCAAACACAATGACCTTGTTTATGACCCTGCATTGACAATGATTGTCATCATCAAATGTGGTCACACAGGTAGCTTCTCAGGTAATCAGTTTAGAAAGAAGTTGCCCTATATTACCCCTTTTGACTCCTATTCACAGCCCTGTAGCGGGCAGCTTCTTGTTTAAAAAGTCTGATTCTCGTCACTTAAGAATGATTTCATAAAAGTTTGGACTTAACTTACAGTAGAGATGTATATAGGTTTTGCACTAAGTGACCAGGATCTCCTTTGAGTCAAACAGTAGTCAGTCCTGCCTTTAATATCAATTATGTTCCTCATCTTCTGAGAAATTCACTTTATGAAATGCTAGTCAAAATCCAGCTGAGTTTTAGACGTTGTTGGAATGCTTTGCAGTATTTCACTCCTTATAGCCCCACCTTTAGTCTGATGTACTACTCAACAATGTTACACTCAGAGCGTCGGCAAACATAACAGCAACTAAAAATCACAATGGTTATCACATATTTAATGACCACAACATATAACTGAAATATGTACACAAAATGACAATATCCCAAACTGATGAAATATAAATATAACTTATCATTTGTTGTCAAACAACACGACTGTTCCAAATCTATAATTTTACAAACTTTTGCATTAAACCATCACAGAAGATATTCAATTCACCAACTTACTTTTTTTTTATTTCAAATATTTAAAGGCAAGTGATTGCTCATTTTTCACAAGTTATTTGCCTTTCAGAATTGTTTGTCAATTAAGAATCAAGGTCGACCAGCATGCTTGAGATTTAATGTTCAGGTCATCCAATTACAGCAAAGGTATATCTGGTACATAACGGACATTTTGCTATGGAAATGTCCAAGCTTTTCCCAACAGATGATGTTCCTCAAAGGATAAGCTATGTAGTGGTTCACTTGAAGCTGTTCAATATGGCTGCAGTCTGGAATCTTGATATCTGATCCCTGATTTTTGTCAAGTTGTTCCCGAGAAAACCTACAAAAATGAAAAGAATATAATAACTATTACAATAACTGTCTTCTGAATGTTCAATGAAAAAATTCAGTAGCTTCCGTTATTTTTACAGCAAACTCCCATTTTCAGTCACAAATTCACAACAAACTGTACAATAGAATTTTAAGATAACAAATTCAAGAGTTTATTGAGAGAAAAGTTAAACGTTTTTTGAAGTTGCATACAGGTATATTGAATTGTACTTATTTTCTCAAAACATTTCCCCTTTGTAATGAACGGATTACCTGTGTCCAATCAACAACATAAAATCCTTGTAAGTGGCTATGATGCAACTGTTGCTGAGTAATTCCTTGATATTCTTTCAAATTCACTTTGCTGCAAAACAAAAAATAATCATGTGAAAAAAACACTTTTTTCAAATTCACTTATAATTGCCTTTAAATGTATGTTTGATAAATATTTTGATTCCCACCATTTTCTTTTAGTAGAATTTGAATGTAGATATTCAGAATCTCAATGGTGCATTATTGCTAAAATCAAAAATCCTTGCTGCAATATTTCAAACAATTACTGGTCATGTTAAAACAAAACAAAACAAAACTGTAGACCAACATTGAGATAACATTTTCACCTTGTGTAGATAGTCTTTAATGAATGGATGACTTCGGTGGGAATCCTTCAGCTGGGAAATGTATCTGTTGCTCACCTGAAAAAATCATAAATAACTTCAACATAGTACTTCTACTTCCAAACTGTACTGACCAACTTCAACAATTTGAAGATAAAATGTAGGACGAGGAGTGAAACATGGAAAGAGAGTGTTTTTAAAAGATACGAGAGGGTCTAATTTGCGTTTGAAAGGTGACGGTAGAGGGCTGATTTGAATAATTCCATTGTGGGGCTCGAAATAATGTCAGGTGGGAGTTTATTCCACTCGGGTATAGTTCGAGGGAAGAATGATGCCTTTCTGGTCTGGGTTTTTGAGTGGGGAATTTGATACGAAAACTGGTGGTTTGTTCGGGATTTTCTAACTGTAGGGATTAATCTGTCTGATTTTACGATAGCGACTTTCTGGTTTACAATATTATGAAGCATGGTCAGACGAGCATCTCTACGTCTATCTGCTAGAGGGCGCAGCTTTAGATGGTCCAACATTCTGACACACTAGAGGTACGATGGTTGTACCTGTGCTTATTGAGCACATAGCGCGCTGCCCTTCGCTGGACCATTTCCAACTTGTCAATATTTGTTTGGGTGTGAGGGTCCCATACTGTACAGGCATACTCAAGTGATGGTCGAACTAATGATTTGTATGCCTGTACTTTGGCTGATGTTGAGCCAATTTTAAGATTTCGTCTTAAAAAGCCTAGCGTAGAATTTGCTTTTGGGCAGATAGTATTTATATGTGAATCCCATTTAAGGTCAGATGATAGTGTTACACCCAGATACTTGGCCTGACTAAGATGTTCCAGTATGTGTCCATGTAAAGTATAATTATGGACTATTGGAGTTTTGTTTTTAGTCACCGACAACACATTGCATTTGTTTGGGTGGAAGATCATTTTCCATGTATTTTCCCAGAGCGCTAGTTTGTCAAGATCTTTTTGAAGTGTTTCAGCATCACTGTTTGACTTGATAACTAGATATGCAATAGTGTCGTCTGCAAATAAACGGATTGTAGCATTTAGACCCACAGGGATATCGTTTATAAAGTAAAGAAATAAACTGGGTCCCAAAACTGACCCCTGGGGTACCCCGGAATGGACATCGACAAAATCAGACTTCTCCCCTTCAACTACTACTGTCTGAGTTCTACCGGTCAGGAAACTCTCGATCCAGTTTGCGACATTTCCACGTATACCATAATGTTTTAGTTTATGGTTTAGGAGAGAATGACTGACCTTGTCGAAAGCCTTAGCAAAGTCCATTATGAGGATATCTGTTTGGCGTCCCTCATCAAGATTCTTTGAGATGTCATCCACAAATTCAAGAAGTTGGGTTTCGCATGATCGCGATTTGCGAAAACCATGTTGGAACGGATACAATATGTTATGGGTATCGGCATGGGTCATGATAGTTGAGACCACAATGTGTTCCATAATTTTGCTACAGATACAGGTCAGAGATATGGGCCTGTAGTTTTCTGGGTGAAATTTTGGACCCTTTTTATAAGCAGGTGATACATTTGCAGATTTCCAGTCTGAAGGCACTATACCTGTTTCCAGAGACTGATTAAATATTAGGGTTAATATCGGGGCTATTTCTGTTGCAAGCTCTTTTAGTACTCTGGGTTTGATGTCATCAGGGCCCGAGGCCTTGTATGGATTTAGGCCTTGGAGCAGTTTTAAGACGCCCTTTTCATGTATAGAAATTTCAGGCATGGCAGGGTATTTATCGTGAGTAGGCATGTTGCATCTAGTGCGAAACTGCTGGTCGGTAAAGATTTCAGGAGGAGTAAAAACAGATTGAAATTGTGCGTTTAGCACCTGGGCCTTGGTGGTAGGGTCATAAACAAGTTTACCGTCCTTTTTCAGAGGAGCTATGCCACTATGGTCTGATCGTTTGGATTTTATATATGACCAAAACCGTTTTTTGCAGGAAAATTTGTTTTCATTGGTTGTGTTTTCTGGGGTGATGATATTATCAATATGGCTCCAGTAAGATGTTCGGAGTTTTCTCTGTATATGATGTTTCAGGTTTTTATACTTATTTTTTATTTCAGTGTCTCCTGATTTTTTTGATCGTTTGTACAATCTATTTCTTCTCCTGATAAGTTTCTTTATGTCAGGGGTAACCCAAGGTAGGCTGGGTTTTGTCTTAACTATCTTGTGGGGGATATGTTCTTTTATGAGTTTAGACAATTCAATTTTGAAATACTCCCATATTTTGTTTACGTCCCACTCGCTATTTTCTGTCATACAGTTGTACACGTTGATAAGCTCAGCTTTAATTGAATTCCAGTTTGAGTTTTTATATACTGGGATGGATCTTGGTTTTTGAGAATATTTTTGTGTGGGGTAAGGTTCAACTCTGGATAGACTATGTCGTGGTCAGAGAGACCAGGGATAATTTCTGTTCGAATTATTTGGTTTCGGAAATTTGTAATGAGGAGATCAGGGATATTTTCATTTCTGGTGGGTTGATCGATTAGCTGGGTGAGTGCCGTGTCATACAGTAAGTTGGCAAAATCATAGTGTATTTTTTCATGATTTGTTTTGGGTTTGAGGACTTTATTTTTCCAGTCCCAGCCCGGGAGATTGAAGTCGCCACCTATAATGAGGGCTGCATTATTAATTTTGGTGGCTTCTTTGATGGAATAGCTAAACAATCTCATACTGTTTTCGTCAGATGTTTTGGGATGATAGAAGGAGCAGATATAGAGTGTTTTACTCCCGATTACATTCACTTTAGCCCATATAGATTCACTGGCCTTGTTTGGTGTCAGATCATGTACTTCTTCGCTGATGAGGTGGTCTTTTATAGCGATCAGTACACCACCACCATCTTTATCAGTGTCTGACTTTTTTCTGTCATTTCGGTAGATCTTATAGCCCGAAGGGAAGATTTCGGCTGATTTTATGCTCGGGTTAAGCCAGGTTTCAGTCCCAATCACTATATCAGGCGCAGTGCTATCCAAGACATTTTCAAGCAGATGTTGTTTATTTCGAATCGACTGGAAGTTGATGTTAACAATTCGCAGTGGTTTTTGTTTAAGTCTTTTGTGTGGACCTGTGTTCTTTCTAACAGGAGTCGAAGAATGGATTGGTTTGTGTTGGAGTACACAATTACTGATGTTGGTATCTGTACCCAAATCACCAAGAAGAGACAGGGTGTCATAGGGGTTTGATGTATTGGTCCCATTTAGGTCGAACAAAATTTGGCTGTAATTTGGGTGATTACAAACAATACAATGCCAGCTTACATCGCTAACATTCAGATCTTCAAATGTTTCTGTGTGTACGTTTTGAAAGTTTATGTGGTACTGTTGTTTTTGGGCCAGGATTGATTTAGACGTCATTTGAGTTTAGTATGACTAAGGCCAATAAGAAATACAGGGCTCTCCCTGACTTTAATTTTGGTATAGATTTCATGGGCTTAAACAATTTGTACAGCATATGGTCATAGCCAGGGTCATTTGATTTTTTGTCAGAGATGGTAATTAAGTCTGTAAACAGGTACAGGGGATGATGACACTCATGATTTACTTTCGTTTCTATATGAAGGTAACACTTTGATGTTATTTCATGAGGCCCAACACTATTCCAATCAATGGTTTTGGTCAAGCACTTGTTTTCTAAGTGCCAGTCTTGGAAGGAGACGTTGGACGAATTGATACAAGGGTCTGCATTGGTATTTGTGTGACACAACAGACCAAGCAATGACGCGATTACAAAGAATTTTACCAGACACATGATCATGCTACGGACGACTTGACTTGACTTTCGGTCGACTTGACTTGACGTATTGCAAGACTATTCGCCCAGCTCTCTCCCGTTGAAAAAATCCCTACGGACGACTTGACTTACGGACGGCTTGACGTATTGTAAGACTATTCGCCCGTTCCTACGCCACACCACCCAATGACCAGTTTTCAGTCACTTACTGAAATTTTACCCTTACATTACTTATTAGTAATAATTCATCAATAATATGACTGATCTCAAATAGAATATGATGATATAAGTGATGTTCTAGCAGGTACCGACAACTATTTAAGTTAAAGGCCATCCCTGTGACTAGTAATAAGCTAGAAATGTAAGCCAAAGGTTTCCTTAAATACCCCCAATCATCTATATACAGTGTGCCCTTACAAACTCTGTACAGAAAGGGAAATAACTCTGTGAATAATCCTATAATTCATCATCATCAATATTCTTGATGTACATACACAACTATACTAAATGGTGGTCAAGCCTATACAGTTTTGGGAAGATAACACATTTCTGGTTAAGGAACCAGGTTTGTTTCCAAAGCAAACCAAAGGAAATAGGCCTGATAAACAGAACTTTCTATATCCAGAAATCCCATAATTTATCTCTTTTATCATACCAATAAGAAATGTAGATATTTTTAAGTTTTTAAGAAACATCACAAGTGGCCACTACTAAAATTCTATCTACCTCTTCATTCCTGTCTCTTTCTAAGTTTCACGATCAATAACACCATTGAAGGGCCACATGAATGCACGCTCCATCTACCACTCACCTGACTTGCTTGACCATTTTGGTGAGGAAGTTATGAAGACTGTCGAGGGAGTAAGTCTACAAGTTGATTTATATGAAGTAAATAAAGGAGACATATATTAAAGCACTCTTACCTCTGGAGCCTTGCCTAGATGTTGTGACAATATAATCATGTTCACCAGTGTTTCTGAATTATTGGATTCCTGAAATAAAATAAAATTGTTACACTCACAACTGGACATCTATTTTTCTTCTCTAACGTGCACCTATATAAATATACATGATACTTGGCACGCCTAATGGATGAAGTTGGTATACTTAAATTCAAAGTTTCATCAAGATATCTTTAAGAGTCCAAACTTTTTCTCTGAAAACCTTTATAAAAATTAAGCTCTTACATATGACAGACATGTGACCTCCATTTGACCTTCAGACCATGGTATCAGTTACAAATTGCATAAACTATTGATATTTGATTATTCAGACAATTTTGTCACCTATTTTTCTCTTAGTAACCATAAAACACATTCTTAAAGAAACTTCTTATTTCTCCTTTCATATTACTACCCAGTCTCCTTTAATATCAGATTGTTAAAACTTATTAGTTTCTAAGAGAAGAAATATTCAAAAGAGTGACAAAATCGACTTAATATTCATTCTTTCTCCAATCTATGTACATTTGAACTTGTTACCATAGCAACCAAAAATCAAAAACCGGTAATAAATCTATCATAGCTAGTATCAGGTAAGTATACAAAATTAAAGAAACAGTGATTCGATAGTTAAGTTAATGGTTTGGATTTGGTTAACGAAATTTGGGATGAAAAGAATTTTGATTCCTTCATGGATTCCAAGGCCAGTTTTCAAAGCCAGATTATTGTCAAGATATATTTGACTGCATGAGAATCAAGGCTTAATAATAATATTTATTCAGGTAAAATAGGCATGTTATTACAAGATATCACAATTAAGAATAAAATATATAATTAAAAAAATCACATTGCAGCTTGTAAATAAAAAAAAGAGTATTTTGTATTAAGACTGAGAATAGTAATAGATCTGACCTAGTAAAAGGTTTTTTAATTCAATCATTGACATATATCACAGAGTATAAAAATCTAAAAAAGTCTGATACACTGTAAAAAAAGGCAGATATTACTATAAAATGAGACAAAATGAGACAGACTATTTCAGTAAATGAAGGTATTTATAAATAAATAGATCGCATAATAGGAGTGGTGGTGTTTGCCATTTACCTAGGATTACCCATAAAAGCCACAAAGTGGCTTATTTCCAATGGGGTCCTTATTTTTCAAGGTCAGTCTTTATCCAAATTAGACTTATTATTGAGATTTCAGTATATCTAATTGATAGAAAGAAAAAAAACAATGGGCAGTAAACAATACTAACCCTATCCATAGCCTCCTGAAGCACAGACTCTGCATCATCAAACTTGCTCTGCCCCATGTAGGCTGCTGCCTGACCGTTGAGTAAGAGGGGAGTAGGAGAATGTTTGTCTGCTAGCTCCTGGAATATGTAGTACGCATCTTGGAACTTCTCACCTCCCTAATTTAAAAAAAGAGTGATTTGCATTAACATAAAATCTTCTTTAAAAGAGTTTGTATCAAAACAAGCTGATCTTAGTTATCTACAGCCTCATCAATTCTAAAATGATACATGGACATAGATTATATGTCAAAATCTTCCTGTTTTATGGGAGTTATCTCCCTTGATCAATTTCTTTAATCATTCCTGAAATAATTTTTATAACAAAGAATTACTTCTTTTACACAAAGTAATTGACTGCCATTTATATGATGACTTCATTCCCAGTCATTATCAAAGATGCCTTGTCTTCTCATAGAATTAACCCCCATGCTATCATAGGCTTCTAAAGCTGTGGAGAACAGTAAAAAATACATTGTTTGGATCGTTAAACACTTCCAACAATAAATTTTGTATTTTCTTGACACAGGGAGGTGAGTAGTCGCAAAAACTTTTTATAAGACAGATATTGATCTTTGCTAATTGATCTACATTGTAGGAGATAGGTGGATGGGGTTAATGCTCCTCACCAGCAAGAGCACTAAGGGACTTAAATCATTTACTTATTTTGTTTTATATACTTTTAATATATTTTACACCTATGTCTTTGGAAATGGGATGGTTATTCAGTTAATCAAATTACCTTTAACTAAAGTGACATCCCTTAATTATCCCAGCAAGCCACTGGACAAACATCACAACTTTTGACCTCATAGTTCTATTGAAGTACAAGTAGTCTTTCAGTTTTAGCTTTTAACACATTAGATATTTTACCCTGAAAATGGGTCAAGGATATTTATTTAAGCTTTGCCATCAAGAAACAGGGAAATGGTATGATGGCATTCGGCCTAATATTTCTACTGATGAAGTCATTAGAATTGTGTTTACACATTTGACTCTGGTGACCTAGATAGTAGGTCAAGGTCACCAGGTAGTTGTATGAACACAATGACAGCCTTTATCACATACAGTAACAGGTCATATACCACTAATTCTAGCCTTATAGTTCTGTAGAATTTCTTAGAAGTTAATAACACAATGACTCTTCAATGACTCTTTGATCCTGAAAGTAGGTCAAGGTAACTTATTTGAACATATCATATATTCATTCATTACAGCAAGCTGAGTGATAAATAGAGAATAATACATGCCTTTTTCCATATCACACCCAGTATCAACCCGAGACTGCAAGATCAGCCCAAGGGCAATTGTGTCGTATCACATATACAAAATCCAAAAGGGTTGTGATATGGGTTTTGCGGGCTGATACAGGTTTTGGGGTGTGATACAGGTTTGGGGTGTTGTATCGCATAGACAAACAAGAGGCCCAAGAGGGCCTGTATCGCTCACCTGAATATTTAAGCAGTCATAGCAAAATATTCTCATTAAATATTATATTGCATTAAAAATATTTCCCTCGCAAAATTTGTTGGCTCCATCTGTTAAAACTACCAGCAAAATGTTATTATAAAATTCTATGCTTTTTTATTCTTCTTCAGAAGTTGCTTGACATATTTTTCCCTGTGACCTTGTAAGTAGGTCAATGTCATTTTCCTTTTCCAATTGGTTAGCTCTATTCCTTAAAGCTTCTATATTATATATTATAATTGTATGCCTTTTTATTCTTCAGAAGAAGTAGTTTGAACTATTTGACATATTTGATTGCTGTGACCTTGAAAGTAAGTCAAGGTCGATTTCATTCACAAACTTTGTTTGGCTCTTTCCCAGGAAGCCACCTGCCAAATATTAAGATTCTATACCTTTCAGTTCTTCAGAAGAAGTCGTTTGAAGTGTCTGACACATTTGACCCCTGTGACCTTGAAAGAAGGTCAATGTCATTTTCATCCTAAAAGTTTGTCGGGCTCTATCCCAGGAAGCCATCAATCAAATATTAAGATTCTATACCTTTCAGTTCTTCAGAAGAAGTCGTTTGAAGCATTTGACCCCTGTGACCTTGAAAGTAGGTCAAACTAATATTCATTCTCAAACTTTGTTGGGCTCTATCCAAGGAAGCCACCAGCCAAATATAAAGATTCTATACCTTTCAGTTCTTCAGGAGAAGTCGTTGGAAGCATTTGACATATTTGACCCCTGTGACCTTGAAAGTAGGTCAAACTAATTTTCATTCTCAAACTTTGTTGGGCTCTATCCCAGGAAGCCACCAGCCAAATATAAAGATTCTATACCTTTCAGTTCTTCAGAAGAAGTCGTTTGAAGTGTTTGACACATTTGACCCCTGTGACCTTGAAAGAAGGTCAAGGTAATTTTCATTCTCAAACTTTGTTGGGCTCCATCCAAGGAAGCCATCAGCCAAATATGAAGATTCTATACCTTTTAATTCTTCAGAAGAAGTCGTTTGAAGTTTTTGACATATTTGACCCCTGTGACCTTGAAAGTAGGTCAAACTAATTTTCATTCTCAAACTTTGTTGAGTTCTATCCAAGGAAGCCACCAGCCAAATATAAAGATTCTATACCTTTCAGTTCTTCAGGAGAAGTCGTTGGAAGCATTTGACATATTTGACCCCTGTGACCTTGAAAGTAGGTCAAACTAATTTTCATTCTCAAACTTTGTTGAGTTCTATCCCAGGAAGCCACCAGCCAAATATAAAGATTCTATACCTTTCAGTTCTTCAGAAGAAGTCGTTTGAATTGTTTGACATATTTGACCCCTGTGACCTTGAAAGTAGGTCAAGGTCATTTTTATTCTCAAATTCTGTTAAGATCCATTCCAGGAAGCCATCAGCCAAATATGAAGATTCTATACCTTTTAGTTCTTCAGAAGACGTCGTTTGAAGTTTTTGACATATTTGACCCCTGTGACCTTGAAAGTAGGTCAAGGTCATTGTCGTTCTCAAACTTTGTAGGGCTTTTACCAACAAAGCTTTCAGGCAAATATCATGACTCTAGGCCTGTTCGTTCTTCAGAAGAAGTTGTTTAAAGGAAAAGTTGACGGACGAGGATGACGGACGGACGACGGACGCCGCACCACGACATAAGCTCACTTGCCCTTCAGGCAGGTGAGCTAAAAACCCGTATTTATTAGTAAGTATGTAATAAATATCATGACTTTATACATTATGGCCATATAAAAGTGTTTTTAAGGAAATCTTTATCTCAAAGTCTGTAACATTCTCCACTTACAACAGCTAAGTTGAACCAAGCTTGAGCCAACTGGAACAATACACTATCTTCATCGACCTCCTGCATCCTCTTGAGTTCTTTCCTGAAAAGAAAATTCAAACCTTTAAACACATACATCTACACTTATCCCTATTAAAATCAACATAATGCTGATGTATATGAAGACAACTTTATATTAAACTAAATCACTGTTTAGTATTTGGCCATCTCTGTTGGAGAGAACTTAATGAGGCAGGTGTTTTTCAGTGATAACAAATTGACCGCTGGTTGGTTTGTACTGGCCATCCTCCATTTATGACACTCTCACTCCCATCACTATATTGGTTCAGTTACCATTATTGGATAATAAATATTGGATTTAGTATCTTTGTCAAGACTTACCTTGCCAGATCCACTCGGTCAAGCTTTAGTAGGATCTGTATTGTAAGGGCCAGACTGGAACAGACACGAGCAAAGTCATAGGAATTCAGCCAAAATCGATTTCAAGGAATTTCAAGAATCAAGTCTATTTTTTACTTGAAAATTAGGTATACATAATGAAACTTGCCTAATCCAACACTCTGTGAGACAGAGAGTAGAGAATTACAACACTCTGTGGGACAGAGAGTATAGAATTACATCACTATGTGGGACAGAGAGTATAGAATTACATCACTCTGTGGGACAGAGAGTATAGAATTACATCACTCTGTGGGACAGAGAGTATAGAATTACATCACTCTGTGGGACAGAGAGTATAGAATTACATCACTCTGTGGGACAGAGAGTATAGAATTACATCACTCTGTGGGACAGAGAGTATAGAATTACATCACTCTGTGGGACAGAGAGTATAGAATTACATCACTCTGTGGGACAGAGAGTATAGAATTACATCACTCTGTGGGACAGAGAGTATAGAATTACATCACTCTGTGGGACAGAGAGTATAGAATTACATCACTCTGTGGGACAGAGAGTATAGAATTACATCACTCTGTGGGACAGAGAGTATAGAATTACATCACTCTGTGGGACAGAGAGTATAGAATTACATCACTCTGTGGGACAGAGAGTATAGAATTACATCACTCTGTGGGACAGAGAGTATAGAATTACATCACTCTGTGGGACAGAGAGTATAGAATTACATCACTCTGTGGGACAGAGAGTATAGAATTACATCACTCTGTGGGACAGAGAGTATAGAATTACATCACTCTGTGGGACAGAGAGTATAGAATTACATCACTCTGTGGGACAGAGAGTATAGAATTACATCACTCTGTGGGACAGAGAGTATAGAATTACATCACTCTGTGGGACAGAGAGTATAGAATTACAACACTCTGTGGGACAGAGAGTATAGAATTACATCACTCTGTGGGACAGAGAGTATAGAATTACATCACTCTGTGGGACAGAGAGTATAGAATCAGAATCCACAAGACTTACTGACAATGGTAAGTAAGATTTAGATAGGTTGAAAACTCAGGTATTGACAAATGCAATGGTTTTCTAAAGTAAAGAAAACTAGACATACAAAGTCAGTAACCCTAAATAGTATATGTAATTTAATTAAAAAGTGTAAGTATTTGAGTGTTCCCATTTTCTTCATGTTAATGACAATATTAATCAAAGTACCCAACAGGTGCTCTAATTTGGAAGACTGATTGTGGAGCTCTGGGAAATTTAAAAACAACAATAAGTATCACGATGCAAAAAGACTATCAAAAGCATGAAGTAACTTACCATTCCAAATTGTCCGACTGGTGCAGAGTACGTAGAGCAGAATCATAATTCTGTAAACAGAATAGAAACTTTTATCATTTCTAGCATTGTGTACATTACTCTCAAGATATCTAAAACATGTGAAAATTGAAAAGTATTGATATTTTTGGTTATTTATTCATGTTAAGACTGAATCAATCACATCATATTCAGTGGATATCATAAACTTTGATTCTATTTTTTCTGCAACATATCATCTCTGGATCGATTCACAATTTCAATAACAAAATTTCATTCAATAATCAATTATAACATCATAAAAATACACCAATCATGTTTCTTGGGGTAATTTTCTAAAGTTGCTTGAATTTCAATATTTAACTAGAATTATGTCAGTGTGACATTAAAGCCGCTCACCACTTTAAATTTAATTGCTTCAGTAACATGTTGAGCATCAATATCTACTATAATACCTCAGATATGTGTTCTGTATTCTGCTAATTGAAAATCAGGTCATGTGATGATGTTGCCTTTGGGATTTCCAAAATCAATCACCTCTCAAATGATGTCTTTAAAACATTTCTCGCTCTCCTCTTTTTTCACCTTCTTTAAGTGTGACACATTGTTGTAATTTTCATTAATTATCATCCTCCAATGATGTGACAGGAGCATTTACGTGCAGAATGGCAATCGGTGAATGGATAATAAAGAATAGGTGCATTTTGTGCTTGTGAAATGAAGGATAATTAACAGTAATGGGAAAACATGCATGGAGAAAAGAGACATTGTACTCCTTTATTTTATTTTTTATTTTATTCATATTAATAATAATTATTAATATATGCAGTGACTTTATTTACTGTCAAATGTTCTTGGAATATATTTGAATTATATTTCTCAATGCGACTTTACCGACGTAAGAGTTATTTCCCTAACACCGGATTGGATAATATTTTGACACGGCGCGAATTCTTGTCAAACAGTAGCGGAAGTTGTGTCATGTTCTTCAAATGTTACATTTTCATAAATAAATACACCAGAAAAAGCATGCTGTGTTACAAAAATGTTTGATAAGCATACACAGTTCACTTAGGGTCTCGTCTCAGAGCCATTACCGTTATCAACCTAAGCATGCTATGTCATATTACGTTCCTGTTTGAAACATCAAAATATGGGTTATACTTCATCACTCATACGGTTTATAAATATATATATATTTACTTCTTCCTTCTACAGACAGCGTCAATGCTTGACAGTCTTCACATGTGCTTTCTCAATTCATATGTTTTTCACACGCGTAACACTCCTCAGACCTCAATCCGAGTTGCTAAAACTTTCAAACCTAGTTCACGAATTTCACCACAACATTCTTCTTATTCTTCTTTAGGTTATCAGTAGTCCTTCAATGATTTGAAGATTATTTACTGAATTCGTAGAATGCACCGGAGATAAACATTTTGTTTTCAGCAATTATTTAAATTATGGATTATTATTTAGAGAAGAGTATCAGAAGACTTTATGTAACCCACAGGTGAGTATCAGAGATTCTACTTTCTTTTTACGATAACGAAATTATATAGCGGAAGCATGCAAGACTGAATTATGCGCACGCATCCCGAACGGAAGTGGGTCCGTTATTTCGTTCTCTGAACAGAATTAATGATAAAGCTGCTCAGCTCTCGCCAAGAGCGGCTTAAAAATAAAACAATGTATAGTTGAGTTTCAGGTTCAATGAGGCTTTTCCCTGAAAAATATTGAATTTTATTGTTGTCTGACCTGTTCATGGTAGTAAATGGAGGCTGCCATCACCAGAAAAGTACTGTTACTGACATCAAAGTTTCCGCTCATCTTTGAATCAAGGTCACCCACTAGCGAATCTCTGAAAATAGAAACAAAAGTTCAGCATTGCTGGTGAATTATTAAAGAAAACTGTCAATGAAATACAGTTGAATCTTCTCAGGGGACCGTACATATTACACAATCTTCTCTCGTAATAGAACACCATCTTCTCATCCTAACAAACAAGTATTTGTTGTTCAGTCATACTGTCAAAGTCAATGTTATTTTCAGGATCAGTTTGTTTTGCTTAAAGGTTTGCATATATATATATTACAGTGACCTTATTACAGAACAAAGTATTCCCTCTAATAATCATGTATTTCAAAACATTAAGCCAGGACAAAATGTATTAAATAATAAGGAAATCAGACGAGGAACCAGATAAAAAGAAACGGAGGAGAACCAAAAGTAAGAACCAGTACTAAAACACTGTCTATCTTCATTTGAAGGGAAGACAAGACACAAACATCACTTACGACATTTATACAGGTAACCTACATATATAGCTACAACAATGTAAAACTTTACCATCACACTGACTTACCTTTTTGATTCATTAGACAGGTAGTCAGCATACATCTTGACTGCTTGTAGCTCATCTGGACTAGCCGAACTGATTTCATCCAAACATACACCATACTTTTTCTGTGACAGGTAGGCACGGTACATCAGCACATCTCGTTTAATCTTTGTCTCCTGGTTTGACGACTGCAATTATAATAGAAATCAAGTGAACATGACATCATATACAGATTCACCAACAAATGCTGATTTGCTATTTTGTTTTACTTTAATTCTGACAAGTGACTTCTTAAAAAAAAAAAATACTGGCTCAGAATTAGATACACCTGATAAACAACCTTCATGAAAGAAGGAACAGTTTCACAAAGAATAAGATCAGTTAACTAACCAAATTATGAAAAGGATGTACATACACAAGTTCTTCTCCGTAAGTTTTAATTATTTTTTCTATTACTATATATACATATGCCTGTAGTAGTTATTTTTGTAAATTTACGCCCACACAATACACCCGGTGCAGTGACATTGGTAGCGCATCAGATCAGTAATGTAATGGCCATGGCCCTGAGTGTGCCCAAAGTAGATTTTATTTTACTACAGTAAATTAAATATTTATTGATATATACATAACATTACTAATATATACATGTAGTAATACAAAAAAACAAGTCAATGGTACTCTTTACCTTAAGACCATAATTATGTATTTCTATTGCTGCGCTAAATCATGTGATGTCATAGTTTATGATATGATCATAATTTCTCTTTCAAATAAACAATGTGAACAAATCTCCTTGATGAGATGAAAGTGCTGACATGTTATTGAGATTTTTTCTTTATACATTATGTAAGTTAGTCCAGCAAAGCAGCCAATAACCAAGTTATAATTAGAAACCTTGTTGACATGCAAAAAATGTGCTCTGATTTGGACACCTAGTCTTATATTTCAGACAAATGATAATGTGCATTAACTGATTTATTGATAATCTTGTTGAAGTGTTCACAATTATAAAACTCAGAATGCTGTTTAATGCTTTATCAAGAGACGTTCGTTCATCACGATCACCATATATATCAAATTGAAACAGAAAAAAAAAGAAATGTAAGTATCTCAAAATCTTTCAATGATATATATTTTACATTCCTGTATGATATTGATGTTACCACCAAGTGTCTACCTGCAACTGGTGTTTCATCTCCAAAGAATGACTGCATGTGGTAAATATAGACAACACAATCATCAGTGTGAGGGAGTACTCCTATAACACAGGTGCTCAGGTTCTGGAATATATGTGATATATTATCGCAACCACTAGATATTGCACCCCCTAATAAGTTATTAGTATAAGGGGGTGCGATCATATATCACATATATTTTAGAACACGAGCACCTGTGTCATATAACTCTTACTCCAACATAACATTAAGATGATGCTGGTCGGCCTTTTTTCAATCGGATATGATTTTAATTTGCCGACTGCGTTACAAGGCGCCTGTCTGAAGTATCTCGCTGTGTAAACCTCTTACACTGTTGGAGTAAGTGAGGGAGCAGTCTTATGTTCTAATTTTTATGAGTTTAAATCTGAATTTACCTCTTAAAATATTATACCACAGAAAATGTAATACATAACTATGACTAGTCTATCTTTTATTCACTTCACCTCCACTTTATCGAGCTTTCAAAATAGAAAGTGTGCTAAACTTGACCACAATCGGAGGCTCACAAATTCTGATCGATCGCCTGTTTTAAATCGTTATAACTGCATTCCATCGCATGTTCATCTGTGGTAAACTGTATTTAACAGACATTTTTTCATCCTACATTTCTACCCCCACCCCCCTTCTTTTTCATTTGTATATCCTTTGTATCTTTAAATAGCTTCGCAAAAATTACTGTACCAAATCTTAATTACCTTTAATTTATGGGCCTCGTTAATACAGTGCTGGTAATCTCCAGTAAAGAAAGCTGTTCTTATTTCAAAAAGCTCGTCTACACCTTCCTGTGCCATTTTCAACTTTATTCTGTCAGCGACGTGGAAAAGTGATCGAGCTCTTGAAAATGTTTGAATCGCAAGGGACTACCAATCGAAGCACTTTCATGCAACTGATCATTGATTATGAGGTGCGTTCGGCTAGGAACACATATTGAGTAATATTAAGGAAGAGTATACCACATTGTACAGCCTCCACTCGAAAAGAGTTATACACTATGAAATGTTTTCTCAACTGAAAAACTGGGAAACATTTGACTTCATAATTGCTGGAAAGTTGTAATGTATATGAAGATATAGAATAGATTGGCAATTAATGAGCAATGTAGCCTTTGAATTTGGATTATATCTAGGCCTTCCTATATACATGTACATCCATGTCTTATCTGTCGACCGTGTTTATGCATCATTTATCAGAAAATAATGTATGGGTGACGTCATTGACATCGACTTAACCAAACACTTCAGGAATTTTAATATAAAGGTATTAATGACGAAACAAAGAATTAATGGCGTGACGAAAAGGGAATTCTGCTTCACTTTGAAAATATACATTATAACTTAAGGTACGTCCATGCAGAGTGAATAAGATTTCTTAAAAGCACAAAAAAAAACATAATTTTTCAGTGGTTCAAGCTATATGAATTCGGAAAAAATGTGGTGGTATATATATCGTGATTATAAAGTTAAAGTTAAAGTCAGTGAAGTTCCTGTATTGGAACTAACTAACTAGTTAGTTTAAGTTAAAGTTAGTTCCAATACATGAGCCGATAGAGCTCCTCTACACTGGACTCAAACATTAAGCAATTGTATAATATAAAGTTAAAGTTTATTGTTAATTACATTACATTGTAATTATGATAAAGTTTTTCATTCTGCCAAAAGTTTATCTATTCTGTTCTTTAAAGTGTTGATATTTGGAGCGGAAACAACGTCCTCCGGAAGATTGTTCCAGGTTTTGACTGTACGAAATGTGAAATAGATTCCCCTCAGGGAGGTTGTTGAATGATATTGGAATATGTTTTTGGAGTTACTTCTTTTACATTTTCTGACTGATTCCTCACTCTAAAGCTTAACGAAAGTGCATGCCTCGATCTCTATCGTAAATTCTGTTTACAATCTTGTAGATTTCGATCATGTCTCCTCGAAGTCTCCTACATGCTAGTGTTGGTAGATTCAATTTCCTTAAATTTAATCTTTCTGGATATTCTTAGCCCTTCATCCCCGGTAGATATTTCGGAGGGCGACGTTGTGCGCTTTCCAGTTTGTCTACCTATTTTAATTTGCACGGTGACCATACTGCTCCTGTGTATACCAACTGTGTCCTCACGAGACATCTTAAGTGGCACCAATAGTCTAGTCACCCTATGATAAACCTCAATCTAATTGCAACATAACTTATTTCTGGTTTTTCACACAGGTTGGTTTATACTGTGTAACAGAAAAAAAATCGACAAAAATCGACTTTTGGAAAAATGTTTTTTTTCGCCCGAAATAGGATCAAGAAAATAAGAATAATTGCTTACTGGACCAACATTGAAGTGTAAATATCAACCTCTTGTGTAACACTGAATAGGAGGAATTATCTGTATTTCAAGATCAATCAGTGTAAAATACAGATTAGCCAAAAAAGTAAATAGGACCATCACATTGAAAAAATATCACACCATGAATATTGCTAAAAGCATTCAAATGACGAACATATTGGCTTTTGTTGCATTTTGGAGACAGAATATTAAGTTAATCAACATCAATACCGATATTGGCTTTGTAGAAATGCATTGAAAACTGATTTGTGTATTAAAGTTTCATAAATGAGAAGTTTTTCTTTCACATATTAGAATTTATGAATGTTCAAAGTTGGCCTGCGGGGCTGACTGGGGAAAATAGCAAAATACTAAAAAAGTGCTCTAAAACATTTTCTATGCAAGTTACTCTTAGCAATAATGCCATCTTGGTTAAGATATCTCCGAATAATTTTGACTAAACCGTTAAAAATGGCTAAGTCCATGATTTTAGACAACAGAAATGTGAATATTTTGTGTGTGTTTTATCTGATTGCTAAATCTTTTGGCAGGAATTACCATCATAACATGGTCCTCTTGATTAAGGGGAAGTAAGGTTAAATTTGTATCTGATCATTTTAACAGATCTTTTTTTTCTTTCACACAATAGAACAGAAAGGGAGGATACGTAATTTTCAATAAAATGATGAAATTGTTTGAATGTTTAACTTCAAATTTATCTCACAAAAACATCCGTTTTATCATTGCTTTACTGGCAAAATCATTTGTAAATCGGACAAAATTGGTGCACAAAATATAGATTTTCGTTGTTCAGAATCATGGACTAAGCCATTTTTTCAGTGTTGAGGCAAAATTGCATGATATGAAGTTTTCACCATCAGAGCTTGGACACATTTGTACATTTATCTTACCAAAATAACAATTTCCAATAAGCTCTGCACACATACAAATGAATATAAAATGCTTGTAAACATTTGCTTGTCCTTTTTCAAATGACATGTTACAGAAATAGGGAAATTGTTTATTTTGGACATAAGTTAACACCAAATCGGCACATTTGGTCAAATTAGATGGTTGATATTTTTTTTGTATGTGAATGTACCATTTTTCGTGCATTAATATTAGATAAAATGTGATGTTTTAAGAAGCTAGATATAGACTCATATGGTCACTGAGATTAAGTAATTAGTATTTTCTGCATTTAAATAGAAAACAAAAGCCAATATTGTCGAGCTCAAAATGCTTTTAAGCCATTATCATCTGTACTATTTTTCAGTTGGTCTTGCTATACGTTTAATCTTTTATATCCAGTAATGTAAAAGAGGTAGATATTACACTTGAAAGGGTTAGATATGTGGTTTTCCTTATTTTCTTGATCCTATAGAAGGTCAAAAAAATATTTTACCAAAGTTTGATTCCAAGAGACTTTTTTCCTGTTATAATACTGATAACTGCCATTCCAAAAAACAAAAAAATATATTCTGTTGCAATTAGTTTGAAGTTTCGGCTGATTTAGCGTAGGGTGACTAGACTAGAATGTTGCGCAGTCTAAAAATTGGAATGATCTCCTAATAATGTCAAGCATCGAGTTATACTCTCATAAATATCCGTTTTGCTGTTTCTTCTCTGCGTCACATGTAAATTTTGTATCTTAGTTCTATGTGTTAACTTTAACCCCTACATAATATGTATTTAAATTCATACTATTTAACTTTATCCTATATATGTATACTTTTAATTCTTTGAATGCAAACTTTATCTGTATGTACCGTGAATCTTCATATAGTGCATTTGTATTATTCCATTTATTTGAATATCATTTTGGTATACAATGGATCTGTTTATTAAGACTATCTACATAAGCGGTCGAGTAACAACCGTAAGCTGTGTATCTGTATACATGGATCTGTTTATTAAGACTATCTACATAAGCGGTCGAGTAACAACCGTAAGCCTTGTATCTGTTTATTAAGACTATCTACATAAGCGGTCGAGTAACAACCGTAAGCCGTGTATCTATACAATGGATCTGTTTATTAAGACTATCTACATTAGCGGTCGAGTAACAACAGTAAGCCGTGTATCTCTATACTATGGGTCTGTTTATTAAGACTATCTACATAAGCGGTCGAGTAACAACCGAAAGCCGTGTATCTATACAATGGATCTGTTTATTAAGACTATCTACATAAGCGGTCGAGTAACAACTGTAAGCCGTGTATCTCTATACAATGGATCTGTTTATTAAGACTATCTACATAAGCGGTCGAGTAACAACCGTAAGCCGTGTATCTCTATACTATGGATCTGTTTATTAAGACCATCTACATAAGCGGTCGAGTAACAACTGTAAGCCGTGTATCTGTATACATTGGATCTTTACACCATATGTCTGTCTATCATGACTATCTATAAACGTGTACTGCGTATCGACCATGTTCTTATATGAAATACATCGATAAATGAGGATTTTGGAGGGCTCCGGTATTCTCTTGCTTTACCATTTGCCAGTAACCATAGCTTCAATGTACCATAAGCTTTTTGCATAGCTTGCTGTATGTACCATAACCATGTTATAAACGCTTGCTGTATAATTAGCCTGTAGTCAGAGCTTGCTGTACCATTAGCCTGTAGTCATAGCTTGCTGTACCATTAGCCTGTCATCCTAGCTAGCTTACTGTACCATTAGTCTGTAATCCTAGCTAGCATACTGTACCATCAGTCTGTAGTCAAAACTTGCTGTACCATTAGCCTGTAGTCATAGCTTACTGTACCATTAGTCTGTAGTCAAAGCTTGCTGTACCAATAGTCTGTAGTCATAGCTTACAGTACCATTAGCCTGTAGTCATAGCTTGCTGTACCATTATCATGTAATCCTAGCTAGCATACTGTACCATTATTCTGTAGTCAAAACTTGCTGTACCATTAGCCTGTAGTCATAGCTTCCTGTACCATTAGTCTGTAGTCAAAGCTTGCTGTATCATTAGTCTGTAGTCATAGCTTGCTGTAACATTAGTCTGTAGTCATAGCTTACTGTTCCATTAGCCTGTAGTCATAGCTTACAGTACCATTAGCCTGTAGTCATAGCTTAGTGTATCATTAGACTGTAGTCAAAGCTTGCTGTACCGTTAGTCTGTAGTCATAGCTTACTGTACCATTATTCAGTAGTCAAAGCTTGCTGTACCAATAGTCTGTAGTCATAGCTTGCTGTACCGATAGCCTGTAGTCATAGCTTGCTGTACCATTAGCCTGTAATCATAGCTTACAGTACCATTAGCCTGTAGTCAAAGCTTGCTGTACCATTAGCATGGAGTCATAGCTTGCTGTACCATTAGCCTGTAGTCCTAGCTTTCTGTACCATTAGCCTGTAGTCATAGCTTGCCGTACCATTAGTCTGTAGTAATAGCTTACTGTATCATTAGCCTGTAGTCATAGCTTACTGTAACATTAGTCTGTAGTCATAGCTTACTGTACCATTATCCTGTAGTCATAGCTTACTGTACCATTATCCTGTAGTCATAGCTTACTGTACCATTATTCAGTAGTC